ACACTGACTCTGAAGGGTAGAATAATATGCCATTTAGCATTTAGAAAATTATTATTACCGGTATAATATAGCTGCCATTTACCAGACGCTTTAATCTAAAGCGACAGTCATGCGTGCATACATTATACATATAGGGTGGGAATCGAACCAACTACCCTGATGTTGCAAGCACCATGCTCTACCAACTGAGCTACAGAGGACAGAGGACACACCTACTGCTCTAGCTACAGGTCAGAGGAGACTAGACCTCTAGCTACAGGTCAGAGGAGACTAGACCTCTAGCTACAGGTCAGAGGAGACTAGACCTCTAGCTACAGGTCAGAGGAGACTAGACCTCTAGCTACAGGTCAGAGGAGACTAGACCTCTAGCTACAGGTCAGAGGAGAACTAGACCTCTAGCTACAGGTCAGAGGAGACTAGACCTCTAGCTACAGGTCAGAGGAGACTAGACCTCTAGCTACAGGTCAGAGGAGACTAGACCTCTAGCTACAGGTCAGAGGAGACTAGACCTCTAGCTACAGGTCAAAAGAGACTAGACCTCTAGCTACAGGTCAGAGGAGACTAGACCTCTAGCTACAGGTCAGAGGAGACTAGACCTCTAGCTACAGGTCAGAGGAGACTAGACCTCTAGCTACAGGTCAGAGGAGACTAGACATCTAGCTACAGGTCAAAGGAACTAGAAATCTAGCTAAAATCGAGGAGATGACCCCTAGTACAGGTCAGAGGAGATAGACCTTGCTTTCAGGTAAAGTAATACACATGTACAGGTCAGAGGGGACTAGACCTTACTACGGTCGAGGGGACTAGACCTTAGCAAGGTAGAGGAGACTAGACCTTAGTAAGGGAGAGGGACTAGACCCCTACACAGGTCAGAGGAGATAGACCTCAGTACGATCAGAGGAGACTGACCTCTACTACAGGTCAGAGGAAAAGACCCCCTACTAAGGGCAAAGGGGAAATAACCCCTTTGTAAGGTCAAGGGAAACTAACCCCTAGCCAGGTCAAGAGACTAGACCTTACAGAGGTCAGAGGGGACTAGACCCCCTATCACAGGTGAGGAAACTAGAACCCCTAGCTACAGTCAGGGGGGACTAGACCTAGTTAGGTCGAGGAACTAGACCCCTAGCTAAGGTCAGAGGAAAGACCTCTAACTGTCAGAGGAGACTAGATTTAGCTACAGGTCAGAGGAGATAGACCCCAGGCTACAGGTCAAAAAAGGGCTAGACCTCAGCTACGCAGGGAAATAGCCAAATACCGGTCAAAAGGGACAACCTCTGCTACGGTCAGAGGGGACGACATCTAGTACAGGCAGGGGGGACAGACCCATTTGCTACGGTCAGGGAGACTAGACATCTAGCACGGTCAGAGGGGATAACACTAGTAAACTCAAGGGGAAAAAAAAACGTCTAGACAGGCAGAGGGAAATAGACCTCTTACAGGTCAGAGGGGACTAGACCTCTCTACGGTCAGAGGAGATGACCTCTACTACAGGTCAGAGGGACTAGACCCTAGCTAAGGGCAAGGAGAGTAGACACTAGTAAGGGCAGAGGAGACTAGACCTCTACTACAGGTCAGAGGAGACAACCTCTGACAGGTCAGAGGGACTGACTTCTAGGGTACAGGTGAGGGGACTAGACCTCAGGGTCAGGTCAAAAAGACTAGACCCCTTAGCTACGCAGAGGGGACGACCACAGCTAAGGGCAGAGGAACTAGACCCTAGCTTAAGGTCAGAGGAACTAGATTAGCTACAGGTAGGGAGAAAAACCTAAGCTAAAGGTAGAGGAGATAGAATCTAGCTCAGGCAGGGGACTAGAATTAGTAACAGTTTAGGGGAAAAAAAAAAAGTCTGCTAAGGTGAGGGTAGACCCCTAGCAGGTCAAGGAGCAGCCCACTCAGGTGAGGGGACTAACCTCTATACGGGCAAAGGGACTAACCTCTAGCTACAGGTCAAGGAGACTAGACCCCTTGTAAGGTCAGAGGGGAAAAGACTCTGCTACAGGTCAAAGGGACTAGAACTCTACTACGGGGCAGAGGAGACTAGACCCAGTACAATCAGAGGAGACAGCCTCTAGCTACGGCAGAGAAATAACCTCTAGCTACGGCAAAGGAGTAGACCTCTAGCTAGAGGTCAGAGGAGACTAGACCTCATCTACAGGGCAGAGGAGACTAGCCTTAGCACAAGCAGAGGAGACTTCTACATAGGGGAAGGGGACTAGACCTCTAGCACGGGCAGAGGGACTAACCCTTTCTCAGGTCGGGGAAATGACTTTTAGTACAGGTCGAGGAATAGACCTCAGGTACAGGTCAAAAGAGACTAGACCTCTAGCTACGGTAAGGGGACATACCTCTAGCTACAGGGCAGAGGAGACTGACCTTAGCACGGTCAGAGGGGACTAGAATCTAGCACAGGGAGAGGAGACTAGACCCCTAGCTACAGGTCAAGGAACTGACCCTAGCTACGGTCAGAGGATAGACTCTAGTACAGTCGAGAAGACTAGACCTTAGCTACAGTCAAAGGAGACTGACTCAGTCAGGTAGAGGGGGAAATAGCCTCATCAGGTCAGAGGAGAATAGCCTCTACACAGGTCAAGGGGACTAACCCTAGCTACAAAGAGGAAAAGACCTCTAGCTACAGGGCAGAGGGACTAACCTCGCTACGGTCAAAGGGGTAGACCTCTAGCTACAGGCAGGGAGATAACCTCTGCTGGTCAAAGGAGACAGACCTCTGCTAGAGGTCGAGGGGAAGACCTCTTCTAAGGTAGAGGGGGACAGACCTTAGCTAACCCGAGGAGACTAGACTTCTGCTACAGGTCAGAGAAACGATTCTGCTTAGGCAGGGGAGATAGACCCCTTTGCTAAGGGGGAGGGACAGACCTCTAGTACGGGGCGAGGGGACTTTAGCATGGGCAGAGGGGACAGACCCCTTTGTAAGGTCAAGGGACTAGACCTCTAGACGGTAGAGGAGGGGTAGACTTTTAGCTACAGGTCAGAGAATGACCCCACTACAGGTCAAAGAGACTAGCCTCTGCTATAGCAGAGGGGCTAACCTCTAGTTTTCAGGTCAGAGGAGCTAACCTCTAGCTACAGGAAAAGGGGGGAAATAGAACTAGCTACAGGTCAGAGGGAATAGACCTCTAGCTACAGGGGCAGAGGAGATAGACCTCTAGTAAGGTCAGTGGAGACTAGACCTTTAGCTACAGGTCAGAGGAGACTAGACCTCTAGCTACAGGTCAGAGGAGACTAGACCTCTAGCTACAGGTCAAAGGAGACTAGACCTCTATCTACAGGTCAGAGGAGACTAGACCTCTAGCTACAGGTCAGAGGAGACTAGACCTCTAGCTACAGGTCAGAGGAGACTAGACCTCTAGCTACAGGTCAGAGGAGACTAGACCTCTAGCTACAGATCAGAGGAGACTAGACCTCTAGCTACAGGTCAGAGGAGACTAGACCTCTAGCTACAGGTCAGAGGAGACTAGACCTCTAGCTACAGGTCAAAGGAGACTAGACCTCTAGCTACAGGTCAGAGGAGACTAGACCTCTAGCTACAGGTCAGAGGAGACTAGACCTCTAGCTACAGGTCAAAGGAGACTAGACCTCTAGCTACAGGTCAGAGGAGACTAGACCTCTAGCTACAGGTCAGAGGAGACTAGACCTCTAGCTACAGGTCAAAGGAGACTAGACCTCTAGCTACAGGTCAAAGGAGACTCTACGCCGTCATGGATTAATATCCTGCAGCGCACGCAAGGTCCCCCTGCTCAAGCCAGCGCATGTCCAGGCCCGTCTGAAGTTTGCCAATGAACATCTGGATGATCCAGAGGAGGAATGGGAGAAGGTCATGTGGTCTGATGATACAAAAATATAGGTTTTTGGTCTAAACTCCACTCGCCGTGTTTGGAGGAAGAAGCATGAGCACAACCCCAAGAACACCATCCCAACCGTGAAGCATGGAGGTGGAAACATCATTCTTTGGGGTTCTGCAAAGGGGACAGGACGACTGCACCGTATTGAGGGGAGTATGGATGGGGCCATGTATCGCGAGATCTTGGCCAACAACCTCCTTCCCTCAGTAAGAGCATTGAAGATGGGTCGTGGCTGGGTCTTCCAGCATGACAATGACCCGAAACACACAGCCAGGGCAACTAAGGAGTGGCTCCGTAAGAAGCATCTCAAGGTCCTGGAGTGGCCTAGCCAGTCTCCAGACCTAAACCCAATAGAAAATCTTTGGAGGGAGCTGAAAGTCCGTATTGCCCAGCGACAGCCCCGAAACCTGAAGGATCTGGAGAAGGTCTGTATGGAGGAATGGGCCAAAATCCCTGCTGCAGTGTGTGCAAACCTGGTCAAGACCTACAGGAAACGTATGATCTCTGTAATTGCAAACAAAGGTTTCTGTACCAAATATTAAGTTCTGCTTTTCTGATGTATCAAATACTTATGTCATGCAATAAAATGCAAATTAATTACTTAAAAATCATACAATGTGATTTTCTGGATTTTTGTTTTAGATTCCGTCTCTCACAGTTGAAGTGTACCTATGATAAAAATTACAGACCTCTACATGCTTTGTAAGTAGGAAAACTTGCAAAATCGGCAGTGTATCAAATACTTGTTCTCCCCACTGTATGTCATGCATAATCTTCACTCCTCAGTTTTCCACAACAGAATAAGTTACGAAATTGTCTCGTTGGGTAAGTAGTTCGGTAAGAAACTCTCCCATCGAGAGTACTCCATGTCCAGTTCACTCACACCTCAGTACAGTACCACGTACCTCCTCTACCAGCACCTGAGTGTACTCCATGTCCAGTTCATGTCCAGTCCATGTCCAGTCCATGTCCAGTCCATGTCCAGTCCATGTCCAGTTCATGTCCAGTCCATGTCCAGTCCATGTCCAGTTCATGTCCAGTTCATGTCCAGTCCATGTCCAGTTCATGTCCAGTCCATGTCCAGTCCATGTCCAGTTCATGTCCAGTCCATGTCCAGTTCATGTCCAGTCCATGTCCAGTTCATGTCCAGTCCATGTGGTCGCTGGTGAAGGCGATGGGGACCAGCAGAAGGTTCTTCTTCCCCTGTTCACACAGACCCTTGATGACGTCATCTGTCTTGAGGGCCCAGCCATAGAATTGGACCCACCTAGGGAGGCCAACAAGGACACACACACAGAGAGAGAGAGAGAGAGAGCATTAGATCTGTGAATACATTGCGAGTTCTAACCAAATGGATAATAAATGATCTACTTTTGGTGTTAAACTGCTAACAATGTGAGGTTTCAGTTATGAGGTGAGGGCGATTAGATGTACCTGATGATCACCACAAGATGGCACTGTTAGTCTACATCTCTCACATCAGACGCTGTCTTCTCAGTCAGCCCTGTGGTCGTATCTGTCAACGGGCTCAGCCCTGTGGTCGTATCTGTCAACGGGCTCAGCCCTGTGGTCGTGTCTGTCAACGGCCAAATTGGTTGCGTACACAGAATTGCAGATGTTATGGCAGGTGCAGTTAAATGCTTATGTTACTAGCTCCTAACGGTGTCGTAGCTCCACAGGGCTCTCGCTCTGTGTGACACACGCAGAGAGAACAACAAATACAAAATTACCATTTCAAAGATTTCACTGAGTTACAGTTCAGGCTGTAACGTAACAAAATGTGGAAAAAGTCAAGGGGTCTGAATACTTTCCCAATGCACTGTATGCATGTATATGTATATATACAGTACCAGTCAAAAGTTTGGACACACCTACTCATTCAAGGCTTTTTCTTTATTTTTTTACTATTTTCTACATTGTAGAATAATAGTGAAGACATCAAAACTATGAAATAACACATATGGAATCATGTAGTAACCAAAAAAGTGTTAAACAAATATATTTTATATTTGAGATTCTTCAAATAGCCACCCTTTGCCTTGATGACAGCTTTGCATACTCTTGGCATTCTCTCAACCAGCTTCATGAGGTAGTCACCTGGAATGCATTTCAATTAACAGGTGTGCCTTCTTAAAAGTTAATTTGTGGAATTTCTTTCCTTCTTAATGCGTTTGAGCCAATCATTTGTGTTGTGACAAGGTAGAGGGGGGGGGGGTATACAGAAGATAGCCCTATTTGGTAAAAGACCAAGTCCATATTATGGAAAGAACAGCTAAAATAAGCAAAGAGAAACGACAGTCAATCATTACTTTAAGACATGAAGGTCAGTCAATACGGAACATTTCAAGAACTTTTAAAGTTTATTTAAGTGCAGTCGCAAAAACCATCAAGCGCTATGATGAAACTGGCTCTCATGAGGACAGCCACAGGAATGGAAGACCCAGAGTTACCTCTGCTGCAGAGGTTAAGTTCATTAGAGTTAACAGCCTCAGAAATTACAGCCCAAATAAATGCTTCACAGTGTTCAAGTAACAGACACATCTCAACATCAACTGTTCAGAGGGGACTGTGTGAATCAGGCCTTCATGGTCGAATTGCTGCAAAGAAACCACTACTAAAGGACACCAATAAGAAGAAGAGACTTGCTTGGGCCAAGAAACACGAGCAATGGACATTAGACCAGTGGAAATCTGTTCTTTGGTCTGAAGAGTCCAAATTTGAGATTTTCGGTTCCAATCGCCGTGTCTTTGTGAGACACAGAGTAGGTGAACGGATGCTCTCTGCATGTGTATTTCCCACCGTAAAGCATGGAGGTGGTGTTATGGTGTGGGGGTGCTTTGCTGGTGACACTGTCTGTGATTTGTTTAGAATTCAAGGCACACTTAACCAGTATTCTGCAATGATACGCCATCCCATCTGGTTTGGGCTTAGTGGGACTATCATTTGTTTTTCAACAGGACAATGACCCAACACACCTCCAGGCTGTGTAAGGGCTATTTTACCAAGAAGGAGAGTGATGGAGTGCTGCATCAGATGACCTGGCCTCCACAATCCCCCGACCTCAACCAAATTGAGATGGTTTGGGATGAGTGTGACCGCAAAGTGAAGGAAAAGCAGCCAACAAGTGCTCAGCATATGTGGGAACTCCTTCAAAACTGTTGGAAAAAACATTCCAGGTGAAGCTGGTTGAGAGAATGCCAAGCGTGTGCATTGCTGTCATCAAGGCAAAGGGTGGCTATTTGAAGAATCTCAAATATAAAATATGTTTTGATTTGTTTAACACTTTTTTGGTTAGTACATGATTCCATATGTGTTATTTCATCGTTTTGATGTCTTCACTATTATTCTACAATGTAGAAAATAGTAAAAATTAAGAAAAACCCTTGAATGAGTAGGTGTTCTAAAACTATTCATCGGTAGTGTACATACACACGTGTGTATAGAGTGTATATGAATATAAAAGGTGTGTACAGCAGTAGTTATATAGGATGAACAATGACTAGAATACAGTATATATATATACATATGAAGTGGGTAAAACAGTATGTAAACATTAAAAGTGACCAGTGTTCCATGACAATGTAAAATAATAATACAATATGCCAATTTAGCTGACGCTTTTATCCAAAGCGACTTACAGTCATGTGTGCATACCATTTTTACGTATGGTGCATTCGGAAAGTATTCAGACCCTTGACTTTTTCCACATTTTGTGACATTACAGCCTTATTCTAAAATTGATTACATTTATTTTTTTCCTTCCTCTACACACAATACACCATAATGACAAATTGAAAACAGGCTTTTAGAAATGTTTGCCAATTTAAAATAAAAACAGAAATGCCTTATTTACACAAGTATTCAGACTCTTTGCTATGAGACTCGAAATGGAGCTCAGGTGCATCCTGTTTCCATTGATCATCCTTCAGATGTCCACATGTGGTAAATTCAATTGATTGGACATGATTTGGAAAGGCACACACCTGTCTATATAAGGTACCACAGTTGACAGTGCATGTCAGAGCAAAAACCAAGCCATGAGGTCGAAGGAATTGTCCGAGGCACAGATCTGGGGAAGGGTACCAAAAAATATCTGCAGCATTGAAGGTCCCCAAGAACACAGTGGCCTCCATCATTCTTAAAATGGAAGAAGTTTGGAACCACCAAGACTCTTCCTAGAGCTGGCCGCCCGGCCAAACTGAGCAATCGGGGGAGAAGGGCCTTGGTCAGGGAGGTGACCAAGAACCCAATGCTCACTATGACAGAGCTCCACTGTGGAAATGGGAGAACCTTCCAGGACAACAATCCATTTTAGAATAAGGCTGTAACATAACAAAAATGTGGAAAAAGTCAAGGGGTCTGAATACTTTCCGAATGCACTTTAGGCTACTGTCTAGGTTAGTAACATCTACATATAGGCTACTGTCAAGGTTAGTTACTCACACGACACATTTCATTATGAATGAAGACAGGGTAACAGAACTTAAATCAAAAGGAATATTTAGTCTCTAGTCTATCGTACTGCACCTGTTATCCACAGCCTCTGTGGTTGCAGTAGAGGTTGGCTGAGTGAAGGCTGCAGCGGTTGCGGTCGACTGCCTTCTGAGAGATGTAAACAAACAGGCTTATGGTGGTACTGCACTTTGCAACTGAAAGGGAGAGCGGTGACATGAGATGAATGTCAAAGACAATTAGATTGGTATACTTCCTTCTAGAGCCTAAGCTAGCCTTTGATCATGACTCTTAGTTCCATTACATTACAAACAAGAGTCATTGGACGAAGGTTCCTTCTGTACTGGGGGGGGGGGGAATTTTTATTTAAGAGCCCGCGACGCTCCGTCTGAACATTAAGATGTATCGCTTGCGGTACAGTTTTGGAAGCATAAGGACCTTATTTTTACTATCGGTGAGAAATAATTTTCTAAATTAAAAAAAGGTTAAATTGAATACACCTTTATAGGGTTACCACATGGCCATATTTCCATGTTACAGCGCTTGTTTACGGAAAACCGATGGAAGACAGAGTGGACTACCTGTGCTCATTAGGGACCTGCGTCTCCGAACACCCGGGAGGGGCCTGAGCCACGGACCGAATGGAGCTGCTGCATCCCCACTTTAAAAATAGGGGTGCAAACATATGTTTTGTTCTTTACCAGAAGTATCATGAACCATTGAGTAATTTGTTCAATGATTAGTCATGTTTTGAGCTAGTCTGTATTAAAATAGATGTCCATTTTATACACTACCAGTCAGAAGTTTGGACACACCTACTCATTCCAGGGTTTTTCTTTATTTTTACTATTTTCTACATTGTAGAATAATAGTGAAGACATCAGAACTATGAAATAACACATATGGAATTATGTAGTAACCAAAAAAGTGTTAAACAAATCCAAATATCTTTTAGATTTGAGATTCTTCAAATAGCCTCCCTTTGCTTTGATGACAGCTTTGCACGCTCTTGGCATTCTCTCAACCAGCTTCATGAGGTAGTCACCTGGAATGCATTTCAATTAACAGGTGTGCCTTGTTAATTTGTGGAATTTATTTCCTTCTTATTGCATTTGAGCCAATCAGTTGTGTTGGGACAAGGTAGGGGTGGTATACAGAAGATAGCCCTATTTGGTAAAAGACTAAGTCCATATTATGGCAAGAACAGCTCAAATAAGCAAAGAGAAACGACAGTCTATCATTACATTAAGACATGAAGGTCAGTCAATACGGAACATTTCAAGAACTTTGAAAGTTTCTTCAAGTGCAGTCGCAAAAACCATCAAGCGCTATGATGAAACTGGCTCTCATGAGGACCACCACAGGAAAGGAAGACCCAGAGTTACCTCTGCTGCAGAGGATAAGTTCATTAGATTTTAGATTTTAGTAATTTAGCAGACGCTCTTATCCAGAGCAACTTACAGTTAGTGAGTGCATACATTTTTCATACTAGTCCCCCGTGGGAATCGAACCCACAACCCTGGCGTTGCAAGAGTCGTGGTTGCAAGCGCCATGCTCTACCAACTGAGCTACACTGAGAGTTAACTGCACCTTAGAAATTGCAGCCCAAATAAATGCTTCACAGAGTTCAAGTAACAGACACATCTCAACATCAACTGTTCAGAGGAGACTGCGTGAATCAGGCCTTCATGGTTGAATAGCTGCAAGGAAGAGAGAAGAAGAGAGCCAATGGACATTCGACCGGTGGAAATCTGTTCTTTGGTCTGATTAGTCCAGATTTGAGATTTTTGGTTCCAACCGCTGTGTCTTTGTGAGACACAGAGTAGGTGAACGGATGATCTCTGCATGTGTGGTTCCCACCGTGAAGCATGGAGGAGGAGGTGTGATGGTGCTTTGTTGGCGACACTGTCTGTGATTTATTTAGAATTCAAGGCAAACTTAACCAGCATGGCTACCACAGCATTCTGCAGCGATACGCTATCCCATCTGGTTTGCGCTTAATTGGACTATCATTCTATCTCAGTCCTTTTTCTTTTTTCTTTTTTGTGGACTACAGGAAAAAAAAAGAGGACTGAGCACGCCCCCACTCTCATCGACGGGGCTGTAGTGGAACAGGTTGAGAGCTTCAAGTTCCTTGGTGTCCACATCACCAACGAACTATCATGGTCCAAACACACCAAGACAGTCGTGAAGAGGGCACGACAAAGCCTCGGCATGGGTCCTCAGATCCTCAAAAAATTCTACAGCTGCACCATCGAGAGCATCCTGACTGGTTGCATCACCGCCTGGTATGGCAACTGCTTGGCCTCCGACCGCAAGGCACTACAGAGGGTAGTGCGTACGGCCCAGTACATCACTGGGGCCAAGCTTCCTGCCATCCAGGACCTCTATACCAGGCGGTGTCAGAGGAAGGCCCTCAAAATTGTCAAAGACTCCAGCCACTCTAGTCATAGACTGTTCTCTCTGCTACCGCACGGCAAGCGGTACTGGAGTGCCACGTCTAGGTCCAAAAGACTTCTCAACAGCTTCTACCCCCAAGCCATAAGACTCCTGAACAGCTAATCATGGCTACCCGGACTATTTGCACTGCCCCCCCCCCACCCCATCTTTTTACGCTGCTGCTACTCTGTTAATTATTTATGCATAGTCACTTTAACTCTACTCACATGTACATATTACTTCAACTACCTCAACTAGCCACATTGACTCTGCACCGGTACCCCCCTGTATATACAGCCTCCCTACTGTTATTTTATTTTACTTCTGCTTTTACTTTTTTGTTGTTGTTTTATTTTACTTTTTTATTAAAAATAAATGGTTGGTTAAGGGCTGTAAGTAAGCATTTCACTGTAATGTCTGCACCTGTTGTATTCGGCGCATGTGGCCAATTTTTTTTGATTTGATTTGATTTGAATTGAGATGGTTTGGGATGAGTTGGACATCAGAGTGAAGGAAAAGCAGCCAACAAGTGCTCAGCATGTGGGAACTCCTTCAAGACTGTTGGAAAAGCATTCCAGGTGACTACCTTCATGAAGCTGGTTGAGAGATTGCAAAGAGTGTGTGCAAAGCTGTCATCAAGGCAAAGGGTGGCTACTTGAAGAATCTCAAATGTAAAATTTGTTAAACACTTTTTTGATTACTACATGATTCCATATGTGTTATTTCATAGTTTTGATGTCTTCACTATTATTCTACAATGTAAAAAAAATAGTAATAATAAAGAAAGTAGTTGTGTCCAAACTTTTGACTGTATATTATATAATAATTCACAGATTGCATTTTGCACTCCCTCCCGTTGCCTCAAGATTAATGGTTTTGCCTACTGGAAAGTTTTGCTTCCCTCCTGTTGGTTCAGTGCGACTCCACGATGCTGACCTAGGCAGAGTTGCAAAGAAAAAGCCATATCTCAGACTGGCCAATAAAAATAAAAGATTAAGATGGGGAAAAAGAACACAGACACTGGACTTTTTCTTTGCAACTCTGCCTAGAAGGTCAGCATCCTGGAGTCGCCTCTTCACTGTTGACGTTGAGACTGGTGTTTTGCGGGTACTATTTAATTTAATGAAGCTGCCAGTTGAGGACCTGTGAGGCGTCTGTTTCTCAGACTAGACACTCTAATGCAGGGGTGTCAAACGTCCGGCCCGCGGGCCGGATCAGGCCCGCAAACAGGTTTAATCCGGCCCGCGAGATGATAAAAAATAAAAATAAAAATAAATACTTTGTAAAGTATAAAAATGCGCTGCAATTTTTCAATAAAATAAACTGCTGTTCCAATTGCGTCCACTGGATGGCGCAATAGCAATTGTGTTAAGCAAGCAAACTGTTTATACCGGGGCAGAGCAAGTAGGTCAAGCACGTGCAGCCAATGAGCTACTTTGTTTTGCCCACGATATTTATTACGGCTTCTACTTTTAACATTATGTGCTTTGGCACCCTCATTGCCCCAATATGTCTCTGTCAAAAAAGAGAAAAGTGGACGCAGAGTGCAGAGTGTTCCAAGAAAAATGGTCATCCTATTTATTCACGGAATTGAATGGGAAAGCTGTATGTTTGGTGTGTTCAGAGCATGTTGCAGTGCTGAAAGAATATAACCTTCGTCGCCACTATGTGAGTCTTCATGCCGACAAATATGACAACTTTCAAGGACAGCGGAGATGAGAGAAGGTGAATGAACTGTTGGCGGGTCTGAAGAAACAGCAGTCTGTGTTTACTCACAGCCGAGACATCAGTGACGCTGCAGTGAAAGCTAGCTACCTCTTTGCTAATGAAATCACAGTGGCTTCAAAACCATTTAGTGAGGGTGAATTTGTAAAAACATGCATGATGAAGGCAGCGGAGATTGTGTGCCCTGAAAAGCGGCAGGCTTTTGCAAATATCAGCCTGACAAGAAACAGTTGCAGACAGGATTTCCGATCTTTCAGTGGATTTGGACAGCCAGTTGAAGCAAAAAGTAAAGTCATTTATTGCGTTTTCGGTTGCAATTGATGAAAGCACGGACATTACAGATGTTGTACAACTGGCCATTTTCATCCGCGGAGTTGATGACACATTGACCGTCACCGAGGAGTTCGTGGAGTTGGTGCCGATGACAGATACAACGACAGCAGCTGATATTTGTACCGCACTCGTCGGCGCGCTGGACAGGGTCGGAGTGGACTGGTCCCGCGCTGTCAGCCTGGCTACAGATGGTGCGCCCTCAATGATCGGGAAAAAAGCAGGCGTTGTGACAAAGTTCAGACAGAAAGTGCAATCTGCAAATGGAGGACGTGATTTTTTGACTTTTCACTGTATTTTGCACCAGGAGGCTTTGTGTTGCAAGTCATTAAAGATGGATAACGTCATGAAGGTGGTCATCCAAACTGTTAATTTCATCAGATCCAGAAGCCTGAATCACCGTCGGTTTGACAGCCTTCTCAGAGAGAAAGACCACATCTATGGCCTGCCATACCACACTGAGGTAAGATGGTTAAGCCGAGGTGCTGTGCTGAGGCGTTTCTTTGATTTACGAGAAGAAATTGAACAGTTCATGGAAGAAAAGGGCAAACCAGTGTTAGAATTTCATTCCGCAGAATGGATGCAGGACCTTGCATTTATGGCACCTGAATAACTTGAACAAACAGCTGCAAGGGCGCAACAAAGTTGTCACGCA